AACGAACAAAAGTTACTTTTTATTTCTCTCTCTCTCTCTCTCTCTCTTGCTCTCTCTCTTTCTCTCTTTCTTTTATTATTAAAACGAAATTATTAAACTAAAATAGTTCGCAATGAATTCATTTCAGTAGCATTTCTATTAATGAAATAATGGGCAATCATTTCTTCGCAAAAGTTTGTTCCATTAATAATTATATCTGAAATAATTTAGATAAAATTTAATATTTATGCCAAAAAAAAAGGGAAAAAAAATCTCTTAAAATTGTAAAAAAGATAAATTTTAATTTTGCATTCAAATAAAAAAAAAAGGAAAAGAAAGAAATAATAAAATCATCCTTTACAGCTGATGAATAAAAAGGACAAATGAAATTGATAATGGAATTTTAAATCGATTGCACTTTCAAAATTTTAACCAACAAAATGAAATTCAAATTACCATCGATTTATTTATGAGAAGTGGAAGGAGATGATGATGATGATGATGATGTATTTATTCTATAATAGAAGTACTATTGATTAAAGCGAATAGAACAATTTTAATCCGTTTGTTTATTTCAAAATTTTATTCTTATAGTGTTAGAAAATTACTAAATGTTACTAAATTAAAAATTACTAAAATTTTGTTTTCAATTTTTTTCCTCCTTTTTTTTTCGGGGGGAGGGAGGAGACCGAAAATTTACAAACACCTTATTTTTTCTCATTTCTTTTGAAGGTACTATTTTTACCAATTAATGAATTTAATTAACAAAATACTGCAAAAAAATATTAATTAATTAACAAAATACTGTAAAAAGACATCAATTTTTCATTGTGATAAATTCATCAATTGTACCATAACAATGCATTGTTAGGTTAAATGACCTTAGACCCTAAGTTAATGTCAACAGTCATCTTTGTTATTGTTGATAGGTATGTTTATGAATTTAATTAAAAGATAGAAATGGATAGAATATGATAGGTAGTGAAATTTAATTGTATGTATTTAGCCTTAAGGCGTGGCTTAAGGCCTTTTTCCAAAGATGGCTAAATTGTGTAATATACTACAACTGGATCGATATACTCAAAGGATTGAGCATGAAGGAGAAGATACATCTCAACGACAGTTGTCATCAAATGTTGTGCTGTTGCTGTTGGCCGCCGTATCATTGCGCTTTAGCTCTTAGCGTTGTTGATGCAACAATTGTTGGTATTTTTGCATATCGTTCAGCTGATTTATTGTATAAATCGGGAAATGATAAGTAAGTTTTTATTTAAAATATAATTTAATTCAATCAATAACACTAAAAATAGATATTATTATCAATTCATTTATCACATCAGCTTATAAGAGAATGATGTCTTAATTGATTGATTGTTTTAAACTTATCAACTTGCAAAAAGATGACGTCATAATCGATTGATCTTTTTGAATTTATCAATTATCATCAACTTGTAAATGGATAATATTTTAAATTTATCAACAATCTAATTAACAAAACATGAATCAATTAGTAATTAATATTATATGTATGCTAATATAAGTTAATTAATGTTGATAAATCAATCATACAGATAAGGTTAATTATGTATCATCGGATACTTTTCATATATATAATCATAATTACTGATATTTCCTGGAAGAGATTGTGGAATTTTAATAATGGAAAAGAAAAAAAACAAATATCTTACAATAGTAAGTTATTAAGTTAGTAAGTAATGTGTAATTAAGTGTTTGTTTTGAATATTACTACTCCAAAGAGTTATAAAATGAGGATTATAGCTGAAGTGTTATTATCATTGTTACCGAAATTATCACAAGCTTTATCTTTTGTAAATTTATGACTTTTGACTTGCTCATAGAGGAAATTTAAAAAATCTTCAAATTTAATTTGTATATATATATATACATATATATATATATATATATATATATATATATATATATATAT